GCATTGTCCTCTTCTGTGGCCTGGTAAGGCTGCTCTCCCCTCAGGGGGAGGTGTAATGGAAAATTTAAAGGGATTTTTGTAAAGCTTTTCCTTACAATGTTTTCAGCCATATTTATGACAGGAAAGTCAGATATTTTATGGCACCTGCTCTTAACACCATAATAAAAATAAAGCCTTTTAAACAAAAAGGTCACCACTCACTCCTATTAAAAGGTTTCTGTAGAATGCATCCTATCACCAACTTCCAAAAGAAACAAATCCCCTTTGGCCTCTACTGTCTGCTAGCTGTGTCATTGTGGTTCTTTATAAATGCCATCGATTTAGGCTTACTTTCTCACAGTTCATTGTTTGAGTTGATGGCAAATCCATAATCCCATTTTAAATATTCTCTGGGCCACGAAAAAAAGCATGCAGTTTATATCAATTTGGCAGTTTAACCTCAATGCAGAGAAAACTTTGGTGTTCTGAGATATCAAATCTGGCTTAAGCAGGAATCAATGCATTATTTGGTCCCTTTTTCTTGTGAGTCTAATTCTCCTTGAAATCAATATCCACAGATGTCTTTGGTAGTAACTGACATTCTAAAGGGAAAATGTGAAAAATAGCTAATGGATGAGGGGAATTTCATGATCTGTTATATTAGGTCATCTTTCTAACAATGAAATTTCTCTAAACTTTGGTAATCCCAATAAATTCATGCATAGTCCTGTCAATGAATCTCTGAAGGGTAGCTTAACTGATCCTTTAGAAATAAATCTTTTATACTTGATCTTAGTCCAGAGGCCAGGAAGTGATAGGAAATGAATCTGTGGTGAAGACAGAGTTGCACTGCAGGTACAAGATCTATGCCAGATAGTGTGTATAGTGCTTAACTCACATAACAGACAGAGGTGGGCTCAGCTTTCTTTCTTACTTAAACATTCAATGCTAATTTTCAGCTTCACAGAGCCTTATATGTAATTATAAATTATACCTAATTCTTGAGGTTGATTTCAGTACTAAATGGCATAAATTACGAAACCACCAGTAGCCTCTGCTATGCAGTGAAGATTCCACTTGAGCCTCGTTGTTAGAGCTGGCATATGGCCTCTGGAGTACAGTCCTGGCTTATTCTGCCCGAAGGTTTTAGAGTTGATAGGGACAGAGCCTGGGCTCTGGTCATTTTGATAAGCCAAGTTCAACCATCAATTCTCTATATTCAAATTAAACGAACAAGTAATGGAGAAAGTAAGAGCAAGAGATTTATTTTATTTGGTCACCCTGGGAGGACAGAGAGGTCGAGGGCACCAAAGTTTATCTTCAGGATCCTGATGTGAGGCTTACATAGAGGGTCAGAGTTATGGAGAGTGGGTTCCCATGTTCTTGTATGCAGGAACAAGGAGTTGGATGGAGACACATGGATATTAGCCAAAACAACAACACGTTAGAGACAGATACTCTTCCAAGGGAGGAAGCAGGCTGGACATAAGAGAAAATTGTCAACCCACGCAGACTCATTATATAAATAATTTGGGGCTTCTTTGTCACATATGGGTTTTTCAAGTTGTTTGGATTGCATGAATTTGTGGGGCTCAATTCCATAGCATGGGATTTCTTACATATGCTTTGCTACACATACTTCTACATACAATCTTATGTGTGCGCTTTAGTAGTATAATAAACCATAGGTCACCTGCAGATAGGCTGTTCCTCTGTGCCACATGAGTAAGATTTAGGTGGCCTTATGCAGGAGTTCCCAGCTTTTCCCTGCCTCTGGCAAGGAATCTCCCAGGCAATCCCTGTTTCTATTCTCCTCTACTTCCTCACTAAGCTTTGGTGGCTACCAGATTACTCCTCAATATAGAATTTGATATGCCTTTCCCATAAAGAAAGGGAGCCTAGACTAAAAGGAAATTACTTAAATGTTAAAGAATACTAAAAAGATTCCTTACCTACCTTTAGGTCTTTGCATATGGTTGAGGCCTCCTAGACATTCCCCCTTACAATTCATGTTAGCCTGGCTATTCTTACTGTTTTTGTGAAGCAAGCATCTGGCTAGTCATATTGGTGAGACTTTATGACCTCTTGTTTCTGATATCACAAATAGATACAATTTTATGGAAAACTTTCTGATCCTCTGGCGCTTACAATCTTTCTGCTCCTACTTCTGCAATGATCCCAGAGCCTAAGGTTTGTGATTTGTATTGTAGATGTTTTCAGTAGAACTGGGTTCCACTACTAGGCATTTTGATTGCTTGTAATGGTCTCTGCCTGATGGAAAGATGTAATTATATTATACTCTAAAGAAAAGAAAAAAAAATAATTTTAAAAGAATACTAGAATGAGATATTTAATGATAGGAATGCTGTTGAAGGCAGGATAAGGGGTAAATTTAGAAGAGTCTCTTTCAATAGATGTTCACTGAAGATAAATACACTTCTCACTGAATATCCTCCTTTTTACATTAATCTAGAACTTTACAGATGGAAGGAGAGAGGGAGGAAATAAAGGAGAGAGAGAGAGACTCTTAGCCTCATAATCCATGTTCTAAATTTTACTGTGGGTATAGGATCTCAATTTAATTCCACAAAGTTATACAACAAGTTGTATTTGGGTTCATGCAGGGGAATGGCATGCTCAGCTTATGCGTTGTGAAAAAGGACACTGAACTTACAGAACAGAGCCCTAAGCCCTGTACAGCGTTAGGTTCTATATGCTTTGCAGCATATAGATGGAACCAAAGCACTAAAATATTACTGCAACTTGCTCTAGTTTTACAGACCAATCAAGGCTATAAACTGAAGATAACTTAGAAGTGATTTTCTACCATTACATACCTGCAGAAAAAAAAAATGTTGTAACGGACAAAAATCAAAACACACATGTATATTTCCTATTCTCCAATTCACATCATCTGAAGGGCAGCCAAGAATTTTTTCTTTTATTTCATTTTTTTCTATGTGTGTATTTGGTATGCATATGTGCACATATGCATGTTTTAATTCTGTGTGTGTGTCTGTCTGTCTGTCCATGCTTGCATGTATGTGAAGGCCGAGCATGGGTATCAGGAATCGTTGTCAATCAATTTCCTGTTAGTTACTAAGGCAGAGTCTCTTCATCAAACCTAGAGCTTACCAGTACAATTACATTTGCTGGCTAGGAATCCCTGTCTTCATCTTCTGTGGCAGCAATTATAGTAGGGCCACCAAGCTCATCTACCACATATATGGGTGCTGAAATTACAGGTAAGCTCGCATACACAGTCAGCGTTTACATGGGCTCCTACAGGTTTCAACTCTGGTCCTCATGCTTACACCGCAATAACCTTAATAACTGAGTCATTTATCGAGCACCAATGTAAGTAATTTAGACTTCCACAGAAGAGCTGGTAACCTTTAGAGTAGCTATTATAAACAGATACCTACTGGAGCTACCAACTCATGTTTCAGTGATTACTTTGGTGGTCTGCTTTGCTCCAAATGTTAATGCTTAAAAAAAAATGTTGCTTCCAAGATTAATGTGGGGCTGGAAACCTGGATTCATTGCTGGTGGATCAGTGGCAGGGGTGAATGGCTTCTTTGAACTCATAACACACTTCATGCATTTATCTGCTGTTAAGAGCAATTGCCCGGTTGACAGGTTGCTTTGGTGAATAGAACTTTTAGAGATAAAAGATGTTGACAGAGGCAGGCATATTTCTTATCTCTTTCTCAGCTGTAATGATTTCAAGCTTGAGGTCAGTGCCTTCTTTGGCAGAATATATGCTAAAACTGGAAGCTAGGCAGACAATGTTGACATGTATTATGAAGGATGACATGCAAACACATTTTAAAAAATCTTGAAGTTAGCAGAAATAGAAGTAGCTGAGTTATAAAGTTCTTGCCACACAAGCATGGGGACCTGGATTTGTTCTCCATAACTCAATGAAACCTCAATGAGAAGCAGCACTAGTGAAGGCAGAGATGGGCATTTTACTGCTAAAAGGGAACATTTATAGTGCTTTGCCAATTTGTGGCTAATTTATTTAATCAAAATTATTGTTACAGTGAGGGGAAGCAGAGGCTTTCCATTTAACCTTTTTTTAGTTGACAATATTAACAATGTATGCATTACACCCTCAATAGAGTAACAAAAGTCTCCATTTGTAATTGTAGAATGAGAATGGGAAGCATCAGTGTCAATCCACAAGCCAGTAATATTCCCACACAGATAGGTGAGTTAAGAATTGTTTTACCATCTTGACATAGCTTCAGAAAGACATAATTTTCCCTGGCATAGAACATGCTCACCACTACTTTCCAAATTTATCCTTTTCATTTTTCTCATTTCTTCCAGAGTCCTTCATTTCATCATTTTAGCTTAGGAGAAACAGAAATTCAGACTGCTTCGTGCTCTACACTGAGTTCCTGTGTGTAAGATTTTGTTTTGCCCTATGGATGCAATTAGCCTTGGGAAAATGAGTTTTCAAAGAAGCAGAGCACAAATGCATTTCCCTACCCCCATCTGTGTGTGTGTGTGTGTGTGTGTGTGTGTGTGTGTGTGTGTGTGTGTGT